TATATATATATATAATATATATATATATATTTATAATGTTTATGTATATGTAAATGTATATATATGTATAGATATGTATATATATATATACATATACATTATATATATATATATTTATATAGATATATTTATATATAGATATATTTATATATAGATATGTAAAAATATAGATATATAGAAATATAGATATATATATATATATTCATATATATATATATGTATATATATGCATGTATGTATGATAATATTTGTAGATCAACACGGAATAGCTGCAATGCCTGCCTATATATTTGTCATTCGGATACACGTGTAAACTACTGAGTGCAACTGCGCTACACGCATATAGATTTCTGAACTCTCAGTAGACAGGATCCTTCAACATGCACTTCTTTAAGACTTTGGACGCCTCTGGTACAAGTATATCTCAATCACTTGCTATTCACAAACCCACAGACGCGTGTTCCACCTTTAGGAATGTATCATACAGGTGTGCAGGTAGCTGTCCGGTGCTCTTTGACTCAGTAGATATATCTGGGAACGTGCTACAACCGCCCATGCCAAGACACACACAACTACACACATCTATATCAATAGTATCTTAGGCGTACGTGGCTCAGCCACGCTACAGTGATGGTTCATAACGGCAGATGGCCCACATATGGACAGATCTATTCCTAACGTACCTGTGGCATAAGTGACTCGGCCACGCTACAGTGATGGTTCATAACGGCAAATGGCCCACATATGTACAGATCTATTCCTAACGTACCTGTGGCATAAGTGACTCGGCCACGCTACAGTGATGGTTCATAACGGCATGTGGCTCACATATCTACAGATCTATTCCTAACGGCATGTGGCTCACATATCTACAGATCTATTCCTAACGTACCTGTGGCATAAGTGACTCGGCCACGCTACAGTGATGGTTCATAACGGCATATGGCTCACATATCTACAGATCTATTCCTAACGTACCTGTGGCACCAGGCAGTGTGAACGGGTCGTTGAGATCGGCATCGTCCAGATGGCCACAAACCCACTCCATCGCTGCCACAGCCCCCTGAGTATTCCGTATCAGAAACGTGTTTTTTTAGTTTTTAGGGATAAGATGTTTTAGGGTTTAGGGTTTTACCTGTAGCACAATCCCGCGCTGCAGTAGTGAATGATACCGTACGAAATATCGAACAGTACGGCATAGACTTCAACGGACAATGTACGCGCCAGTCACACATATACGGCGGTATTATTGCATTAAATAAACTGCATATGCACTCACACACGATATCACACTCAGACTCAAACACAAACATATGACCCATAGATGAGCCCTGACAACCTCCCAAGCAGAGACAACGCTCAGATGAACAGTTGGAAACACTGACATACACAACACACAACACACACACACACGCATACACACATACACTCGCGGCCATGTACCTGTCCCATCGTATTGAATGCCGCTCGCTTACACGCATTCACACCAAAGCCTGCCGAAGCCAACTCGGACATAACACTCTCGTCCAGAACCACTGCGGGAGGTTCGGTACCTTTACTCTCGGGTAGCGATGACTCACCGTCTTGCATACCCCCACACCCCCGAAGCGTTGACAGATCTAAGAACTCAGGCATCTCCACCTGTGAAAATATGAACACATGAATCTGTATGAGTATATAAGAATATGTGTGTTCATACATACATACATACATACATGCATATATATATATATAAATATATAAATATATAAATATATAAATATATAAATATATAAATATATATAAATATATATATATAGTCCACGCACACACCCAGTCACGTGTGGTTCTACCGTACCTCCACATCCAGCTTCTGCGGCGTCCAGTCGTCGCCCACATAGAACCTGCGCGTGTGTACCATCAGATACGGCGGGAATGTCAGCATGCGTTGGCTGACGATGGCTGTAGTGGCGGTCTGTGTGGCGGGGCTTATCCAGTTGGCCATTTCATTGGGCGCCAAATAAGCGCTTAGACACGCCTCTACAGGGATACTGGGCCGGACAGACGGCAACGTCTCTTCAGTGTAAGGTGTGTTGGCAGCTATCCCTTCCTGTATCTGTATGTGTGCGTGTGTGTAATGAGGATGTTAAAATGTGTTTCCGTGAATGCAAGATGCTCGATGTGGGACTGAGACAATGGATGAGGGTCACACTCGCTACTGCTACATACAAATAGATTGGCCTGCATACATACATACATACATACATACATACATACAGCTATATATGTATACGAATACATAAAGATACCACACACAAACGCACGCACAAGCAGGCGTACCAACGATAGCTTCCCTGTCACAGCGATCTCTGTACTGAGGGAATATAATTATCTGAATTGTACGAACTCTTATCCGACACTCCCATAGGCCTTCTAGACACCACGCTCACAGTTAAACAGAAAGTGTACCATAACAAGAAGGTGCAACGCACCCATATACTCACTTACCCCCACACCAATCCTAAGCCATCCTATGACCGTTATATAGAGTACCTGTACCATTCAGTCTCTCAATACACAAGGTATGCGACCACAAACACGATCCTTTGTATGAATATGAATATGATTATATATTTATATATATCATGTTATATATGTATATATATATATATATATATATAACATGTATTATATATATATATATATAGTGTA